TTAGCTGAAACTGATGTTTTCGCATCACAAATGTTCTAAACCACTGTGAGGTATGTCATTTCAGTATAGCGAACTCCCCTTAGTATAGTATAGTTGGTGTATAGCATAGAGTTATCGTTTTGCTTATTGGGGGATGACTGCTTGAGATGTCTTAGCTAAGGTATAGCGTTTTTTAATACATGCTTCGTCTTGCTCATTGGGCCGTGATTGTTTAAGGTGTGTGAGCAAATGGAGAGTTTTTAATATAGAGATATGCTTTAATTAAAAAATCTGAAACTGGTGTTTTGGCATCACACATGTTCAAAACCACTGTGAGGTCGGTATGCCATTTCAGTATGGAGAACTGCGGAGATCCAAAACCGGATTCCGGTTTCAGAAAGCCAGACATGAGAATCAACCTTTTTTGCTAACATACCGTAACATCTATTTGAAGAACCATCGAAAGCATCGTAAATACCGGTGTTTTCGTCGTCTCGCCCTAAACACCCCAAGTCGGAGAGCGAAGGGAGGGAGAAGAAAAGAGGACAGACGTAGATCATGGGGCGGGGGTGTGACCATATATATATATATACATGGTACCCACCCATGGATCCACCCCTTTTCTCTTTATTTATTTTTCCCTTCTGTCAGGTATTCACCTCAGCAACATATGATTCAGCACCAGATCATGTTTAGGGTTTTGTGGTCAGGATCTTCAGTAAAAGTTGCCTTTACCAACATTTTCGAGCTTCGACCGTCGGAAAAAGTTAGCTTTACCAACATTTTCGAGCCTGGACCTTCAGAAAAAGATTTTCGAGCCTCGACCTTCAGGAAAAGTTGGTTTTACCAACAAAAACCAAGAACAAACACGTGGTTTCCTCCAAACATAGAATGACCATTTTTCCTTAACCATGAGGTGTATAACCCTTTCTCTTTTCGACACTGAAGAATAACAATTCCGCCTCAAACATACTCAAACTATGCCTGAACTGGTGAACAGACGTCGGCCTCCATGTCTCCGATCATTGCCTTCAATGTTGGCACCTAGAAGCAAGTTGCAGAGGCTGTAGAAGTGACATGACATGACAGGAAGACACTTTAGCCACTGTCTGGCACCGCATGCCCAGAAGTCGCTGATGCCTTCGCCTTGGGCTCCGCTGCGATGCTTTCAGTGCCAAAGTACTGCACTGCAGGTGGCAAAGCATGCACTTGACCACGTCCTGCCTCTGCAAGTGGCCACTTCTGGCCCCACTTCCTGGAGCATCCTCGCTCCTGGCGCTGCCCGTTATCAGGGTGTTTGGGTTTTAGATTATCTAAGTTCAAAAGATATGTGTTAGTCCACACAACAAAAGTAGGACGACGGCAAAACGACAGAGGGACGATGGTGGGACGACGGAGGGACGAGGGCAAGACGACGGAGGGACGACGGCAGGATGACGGGGGGACGATGGCATGCAGGACGCCGGGGGGACGACGGGGGAACGACGGGGGGACGACGGAGGGACGACGGGGGGACGACGGCTGTCGCGCCGTCGTCGAGCCGTCGTCGCGTCGTCGTCGCGCCGTCGTCGCGCCGTCGTCACGCCGTCATAAGGCCTAGTTTAAGCTAACGCCCTACCAATTGACCCGCGGGTTTTGCTTGTTTTCAGGTCTTTTGGAGTTGTTGCTATGTGTCTTCAGGTCTTTTCGCGTTGTTGCCGCATGTCTTCCGGCGTTTCGTTGGAGTTCGTGCCAGATGGGTGGGGGGGGGAGGGGTGGGGGGAGGGGCCGTCCAGTTTCCCCAGACATCAGGACTGGCAGGCTTTACCCTAAATCCTAAACCCTGTACCCTAAACCCTAAACCCGAAACCCTAAGCCTCAACCCTAAACCCTAAACCCTAAACCCTATCAACCCTATCAACCCTAAACCCTAAACCCTATAAACCCTAAGCCCTGCAACCCAAACCCAAAACATCGACTCGCGAGCTTACAGAAGCTGGTTGAGGGGTTTGGGGTTTAGGGTCTGCAGGATTTTCGGACCTAAGGGCCTGAGAAGCGAAGGGCTTTGGGGCTTAAGTGCTCAGGGGTCTCTATAGGAAAGGCTTCAGGGCTTTAAGCCATGAAGCCCTAAACCCGAAACCCTAAACCCTCAAACCCTAAACCCTAAACCCTTGACCCTAAACCCTAAACCCTACACCCCAGGCCCTCAACCCTAAACCCGAAGCAGTGCAAGCCCAAACGTGTCATGCACCCTCAATCCTCAACCCAAAGCACCAAGCAGTGTAAGCCAGAAGTGTCATGCACCCTCAATCCTCAAACCAAAGCCCGAAGCAGTGCAAGACCAGAAGTGCCCTGCACTCTGAGCTTTCTACAAAACACCGAAACGCTAGCACCGCTCGAGAAAAAACACATTTTTCAATCGACAACACTATGACGTTTTCAAGGAACCACATACGAATACCATTTTTCTCCTGTCTCAAAAGGATTCCCCAGAACAGACCTTGTCAAACCCAACTGCGCGTTTTTCCGAGGAAAAAATACCATTCTGCCCTGTCCTTCCCCACACGCCCCCCCCAAAAAAAAAACAACTAAGCCCCGGAAGCTCCGGAGACGCTACTTTAACTTAAAAAATAAAAAACCCCATTTTATCCGCAAACCCGTGAAAACCTGTTTACGCGCGACCGTGACATGTAACACCAAAACGTGCTTTTCGCCTGGGAAAAACCACTAAAAAAAGGCTTCCCACAACCGCAAACTCGACAAAACATTCGCTCCAAACGTTCGGACGGTGCGCGACATTGGCCCCTGCTATCGAAACAATGTCATGCAGAAATCGTGCTTTTACCTCGACAAAACTAACAAAACAACCCAAAAAACCAGCCTGCTACGGCGCGGGTCGTTTCGCGGGGCGTTACCTAGTTTAAGCCCAAACTGGGCCTTATTTCCCGTCATAAGGCCTAGTTTAAGCCCAAACTAGGCCTTATGACGGCGGGACGACGGCGGGACGACAGCGGGACGACGGCGGGACGACGGCGGGACGACGGCGCGACGACGGCGCGACGACGGCGCGACGACGGCGCGACGACGGCGCGACAGCCGTCGTCCCCCCGTCGTCACCCCGTCGTCGCGCCATCGCACCCTGTCGTCGCGCCGTCGTCGCGCCGTCGTCGCCCCGTCGCCACCCCGTCGTCGCGCCGTCGTCACCCCATCGTCGCCCCGTCAAAGCCCTGACGTCTAGACCCCTCTAGCTGGACTAGAAACCATACCCCACATATCTCTAGAACTTAGATAAGTTTTAGAGTTTAAGGCTTCAGGTGAACTTGTTGCTGTGCCTCTTCAACCCGAAATCCTCCGAAACCCCCAAACATTAAACGTCTACCAAACCCTAAACTCCCCACTCCTGCTTCTCTTCGGGCATGTTTGTGCCGGCGTTGCTGCAGACAGCCTCAACCCTGAACCCTAATAGACCTGGTCGGTTCTCTAACTTTGCGCAGACACAGCCCCATTCCTGGGCCTATGAGGTGGCCCAGTCTCTTAACCAGTACGGCATATCCTTGCCCAGTTCATGGGGGGTTTTCCCAGGAGCGTCGGAGCAGCTAGTCTCTCGCTGGATCCAACATCACGTCCGCCCCGCACTGCAAAGAGTAGCGCAATCCCAATATCACTGTGAGCTGGCAGCTTTGACGTCCTTAGCGGACTATGCAGTATTTCAGCCACGACTTGGCGGCGGTAACTGCATTCATGAGTCCAACATTCCCACTTCTATTGTTCGTGATTGGACGCTCGCCCGTTGTGGGCATCACCCTTTTGCTGACGGTAGAAGCGCCCGCCACTCGCTGATGCGTCACCAAGTCTGTCTTTGCGGCACTGGCCAATGGGAATTTCTTCATGCGTTGCGGTACTGTCCTTTGCTGAACGATCAAAGACGGAGATGGCTACAGCGTCTGGGTTTGCAGCACGTGCCGCCTATTCAAGACTGGGATCTTGTACGCTGGATTTTTGACCCCCAGCTCATGAGTACTAATGCTGTGATGAGTGCTCATGTTCGCTTTATAGCATCAATATGTGACGCTGCCAGATCATTGCAAGAAGGCCTTAGACCTCGAAGGCTACCACGCGCCGTTGATTTAGCTGATGGGGTGAATATTTGATCAGCAATGACTGCTGTTTATGTTGCTGGTCGGAGTACCAAGCTTCTCACTTGTGTAGTGTGTATATATACTGACCGAAGACGGTTGTTCGAGGTCCCTATCTCTCTCTACAAATGAGCTTAGACTCCCTTTTGCGTACCTTAAGTCCCAAATGCGTGGGCCGGTAGACCCCAGAATCGACCTAATTCAGAGAACACCTGCAGAGGGGCCTTGGAGGCTAAAGGCAGCGTCTGCTGCAGACCGTAACCTTCGCCTAAAACCTCCCAAAGGACTGAAGTTAAGTTGGATCCGTACAGCAATAGTGTCGAAAAAAAGCCTTGGCAGCCCAGGAACCCTGCCCTACAAACTGCAAAGACGTGTGCCCAACCTTAGGCTTAAGGGCCTGAAAAGAGCGCAGCATTCCACACATTTGCCCGCATGACGTGTAAAGCACACTTCCCCGCGACGCGGGGCTTTGCCCGGATGCTTCCAGGGGTGCGCGTTCCTTCTGCGGAACGATCCGGGGGGCACTCTGCCGCGACGGGAGATGTGGGCACTGTGCTGAGGAGGATCTTGTGCAGTCCAGGATAGTGCAGTGTGGTCCAAGTCACGAACGTTCTTCCCAAGGCTGCGGACGTCACAAGCACCAAAGCAGCTCCCGTAGACCATGCCCCACCTCTTCTGAATCGGTAGTCGTGTGCAAAGTGCGGAGCTGATGGCCTGCTTCTGCGAAGGTTCGGCCGGGATCACTTTCTACTATCCAAAGGATCTGCAGGTCCTGCACCAATTTCTGTGGGTAAGCGGGCTCATGGTGCAGGATTCGAACCAACAGGGACACCCACTGCTGCCGCTGAAGCCTGGTAAGTGAGCGCACAACCTTTTTAAGATGCAAAGTGCAATCCACCACCTGTTTTAAGGTCTCGGAGCTGATGGTGGATACCGGCCCAGCATGTCTTCTGCGATCAGCTGCTGCACAAAAGGGAGGCCCCCGGCTCCATAACATTCAAGAGTCCTGTGCGCAGCCTTGCGTATGGACTCATTGACATCGCGGCAGAGTTCAAGCAAGAATCGAAGGTTGGGAAGAACGATGCGGCGGACGTCAGCTTCAGCAAAATGGGTTGTGCTGGTATCTGCCAGCGCCATGCACCACTGACGACCTAAGATTGAAGAAACAATCTACCAAATGTGGCAGCTCTGAAAGATGCGATGCTGAGAGGAAGTAGGCTGTGAATCATGAATGGATCAAGAGGATTCAAGAGGCATTGGTAGTACTTCTGCTGCTCGACATCGCCTCCGAAGGCTGCGTCCAAGCCGGTGTTTGACCGCGAGTCCATGGTTTTGCAAAAGGCAAGAAGTGCTGCAGGCCTGCTTCAGGGCACCAGATTGCGGCTCAGAGATGCTCAGAGGGCTTAGAGGCTTAGAGCTTGAGGCTATCGAGAGAAGTGGCTCAATATAGACACTCATTCCCGGGCTGCACGAAAAAGCATGCCCTGATTCGTGCCTGTCCATTCTGCCCATCTCGTCCACGTGCTTTATCAAGACCTGGCGCTGTCACGCTTCAGGCCCAGGGAGGCGGCCGTGATAATTATCTATGCTGACAGCAGTTCCGAAAAGCGCCCGCGGGTAAGTTCCACGCATTCGGGCTCCTGGTCTGCTGGGAGCTCAGGCGCCAGTTCATCAAATCGCCAACCTGCATGGAAGTACACGGGCATCAGCAGGACTGCATGTTGTCTACGGCATTCTACCGCCGACTTCTATGCTTTTGCACAGCTGGCAACTCGTGTCGAGACAAGGCGCATCAAGGTACGGCAGCAAATTTGGCCTCAGGCGTGTTCGAGAAAGGCACTGCTACTTTGCTCAGGATCTGAAGCCGCCACAGATCCCAAGTCCGAGGTGCAAGAGGAGCTTGTAGGGATCCCAGTCAAGTGAGTCAAGTGAGTCAAGGCCAACCTCGGAACTCGAGAAGCCGCACAAGGTTTGGCTTATGATTTCAGCAGGCAGCTCATGCAGCTCAATTCCCGGAACATGCCGCGAGGTCTCCGACAAAGATTGCATCACCACTTCACAATGCACGTCCCCCAAGCTACAAACGGACCTCCGAGTCCGAGCTGAAGCTCCATGGCAAAGATTGCGTGGAGATCTCCTCAAAACCAGAAACTGGCATCAAACTGCTGCTGTCAGAGGCCTTCCGCGCCTCCAAACCCTCGTCGGCCGAACTCCCTGTGCTCTGCCTCAGCCGGCCAAAAGCAGAAGGAACGAGCACAAGCCTACAAACCCTGGGACCCCTAGGTGAACCAGGGATGTTTTGCAGACACTAGAACTCCAGAAAGAAGCACTACGGTGCACTAGGTCCTCTAGGTCACTAGGAGCCTACAAACCCAAGGCAAACCCTGGACAGGCACTTTGCAATCAGGACAGAGTTGATCGTGGCTGCGGCTCTGCTGGAACCCCAAAGCCCCAAGTGTTGCACACATACAGGTGCTCCCCTGGGGCACAGGTCAGCACGCAGATGCAAAGAAGACGAAACAACATCTTGCAACATCTGCAATCCCCTCCCCCCAACATCACGACGCACTCCCCTGGTTTCAGATTCAACGCCCTTCCCATCCCGGCAGCCACGCTTCGCCGATGCTCCCGTTTTTGCACTTCCAGCGGGATTTGACGGACAGAAACCTGGATTGGTACATGTTGCAGCTGTTTGCAGCTGAGAAGCTCGACAGGCTCGTGATGCTCGTGGCAACCATGTGGACCCTCCATCTCCAAGGGATGTCGAGAGGCAGCAACCTTGTGGCATAACTTCCCGCACTTTGGGAATGAGGGCACATGGGCTCCAAGCCTTTTATAACAGAATTGGTATGGGCCAGCAGTGACAAGAAACGACTCAGATCAAGAGTGCTAGGAGTTCGCAAACTGCGTCCCTAACCAACCACCAACGCAGGACAGCGAAAGACACTTCGACCAGGCCTCGTCATGCTCCTCACGCAAGAGCCGGCGCGGAAGTCGCTGAGCTGTGGCCTCGATTTCCCATCCCATCACGACGCAAAAACAGATCACGTCCTCAGTCGCAGACACCGGCGTCAAAGCTGCTGCTCTGAAGCCTTCCACACCCTAAACCCATCTAAACCCTCAACTTCCCAAAGCCCTTCACCCTTAAGCCCTAAGGCCCAAAGAGCCCCCAGGGAGCCTCCAAATCGCCATCGTCGGCCGGACTTCCTGACCTCTGCCCTGGGCTCTGCCTCAACGGGTAAAGGAAGCAGATAAGAAGCAGAGCCCTAATAGGCCTACAAGAGGGCTTAGGGTTTAGGGGTTTAGGGTTTAGGGTTTGGGTTCTTCCAGAAAAATTCATTGGCCCTTGATACCCTCACCCTCAACAAAAGAGAGCACGAGTAGTAAGCTCTCGAACTATCTGGAGCACACTAGAACCCAGAATGAAGCACTAGGAGCCAACCGGCCATGGTGGTTGTGGCTCTGCTGGAATGCCAAAGCCAAAAGCGCTGCGCACATACACGTGCTCCCCTGCTCCCCTGCGGTGCTGTTTTGAAAGATATATTGTTCTGGGGGCACAGGAAAAAAAGAAGGATGAGAACCACTCTTGACGCAGTTGCAAAGAAGAAGAAGAAGAAGGAGGAGTAGCAACATCTTCCAACCCCTGCCATCCCCCCCAACATCACGCCGCAATGCCCTGATTTCAGCATCCAAGGTGCTTGACGGGCTCGTGATGCTCCTGGCAACCATGCGGGCCCTCCATCTCCGTCGCTTTCGGAACCTTAGCTTGACATGGCAGCAAATCACGCCGAGAGGCACCTCCACCTTGGGGAGGAGGGGGTGGCAATGGCAGCTTCCCGCACATGGGCTCCAAATGGCTATTGGTGCACAAAGTGAGTTTCAGCACCGGCAAGCCCTGTAGTGTGTGTGTGTGTGATCAAGCGCACAACGCTGCGCTGACGAGCAATTGTAACCAGGCACACATTACTTGAGTCATATTGAGTCATCACCACAAGACTTGTGTCAGTGTGTCAGCTTGCACAGTCAGCGAGGAACTGGGTCAAAGCCGCTCCAGTCGTCAATGCTCCAGCAATCTTGGTCCTTCGACTTTCTGGCTGTGACAGACATTTATCACCATCCGAGCCATCCTTAGCCATATGCTGCCACCAGCAAATGCTAGCAGGGCACCTCGACCTACCCCCTATTCCCCGCTGCATTGATCAAGAACATTCAAGAACTCAAGAACGCAGCGCCATAGCTCCTGCTGGTAATCCACGTTCTCCGCATCACCCACATTGAAGAACTCGCAGTCGAGACTCCGGCGTGCAGGGTCATCTGGCTCAATGTACCTCGTTCCATTTCGTTCCGCAACAGCAGCCTTCCTTCTAAAAACTGTGCGCCTGACTTAGAGGTGGTGCTGGCTTAGCATGTGTGTGTGTCAGGTTCTTGTCAAAAAAAAACCTTCGCAATCTCTCTGAAAAGCCCCCCAGCACTTCGGAGTTGTCCGTGCCCGGCAGAGCCACGCAGAACACCAAAAGAGCAAAGCATCTCGAATCCTCCTTTTGCCTCCTACTCGGTCAACTCTCTCAGGTCACATATCTTAGCAATTGCTGTGTATGACATGCTGCCCAAACTCTCACGCAAAGAGGCGCAGATTCCTTCCATCTCACACTCTTTCAGCTAAAGCTACCCAATAAACAGCTATCAAGTTACGCAGCGTCCACGTTCCCTTCAACAGCTGCCTTTTTTTCCGTTGTGGCAATCCCGCAACACTCACTGACGCCTGTTTGTCTTCATCAAGTCAGCCAATGCTTGGCTCAGTTCTAGTGGCTCAGCGACAATCTGCAACTTGTGACTGTAGTGAACGCCCAGGTCACGAAGCAAGTACACCTCGCTGGTGTATTCCATATCTTCCCATAAGTCAAGCACAACCAAGCCTGGCGGCGCGTGCACTGGCTCACTCAGCCTCCCATACAATAATGGTCGAGACACTCTTGGAAAAGATTCGTTGACCGGGAACCGCAGGGAGATGTTTTCCTGGAGCGCAAACTTCTGCCACACCTGCGGGTTGTTCACCAAAAACGTGTTGATCTTGCTGTTTGTGATTGGGGGGGCTAGGGATAGACGCGTTGTTCGCAAAAATGCCACAAACTCCTTGAACATCGTCTCCAGCCAAAATCTTGAACTCACCGACAAATATTTCAGCTGGAGCAATCTATACTTCGTTTCTGCAAGGGCAAGGGCTGCGTCCTTTTCCTTTTCCGCAAGGGCAAGCTCCTGGGCAAGCTCCTGGTCCTTTTCCGCAAGGGCAAGCTCCAGGGCAACACTTGTGACGTTCTCATCATGCCCCTGTACCCCGAGCAGATTTTGTGCCTTTGTCAAAAACCTGTCGCCATAACCAGCGTTGAGGCTCTGCAGCTTGTAGCTGCGTCTGAGCTGCGTCTTCATCCCAACGAAAGCGTGGAACTCCACGAGCGCCACCACGGCACAGACACAGGCAAAGGAACGACGCACCATGTTCCGCAACCAAGTGTACATTGACAGTGCGCTGTTAGCAAGAGATGCCTGCGGACGATCACAATGATGTGAGCAAGCCCTTCTCAATTGGCTGGGCAAAGAGCCACGGAAATTGACACTTGCCAAATGGCGCGCCTTCATAAGGACGTAGCTGATGTAGAGGAAGCACGCGGCACGGCATCCGAACCTTGACCCAAAACCGCTTGGTTTCACTGACACCGTTTTGAAAGGCGTCGGCCGCGGGAAACCAGGGCGTGACTTGTGACTTGTGGGCGTCGCGTGCGAGAAAGAAGGGCGTGGCTCGTGAGCTCGCGCCTAAAATTCAGCCTAGAAACCCTCGCCCGGCCCCCCAAAAAGTCACAATTGACGGCCCATTTTTTCCTGGCCCGGCCCCCAAAAAGGCGCAAGTCACGGCCCATTTTCTCTGCCCAGACCCAGAAGTCACGCCTCAATTCCTCGGCCCCCGGTCCCAAAAATCAAAACCTACCAAGCACACGCAATCACTCTAAGGTTCCTTGCCGCAATCCAACCATGAGCGTCACCTGTCACGCTTAAAGCTTCATTATCAACAAATCATTTCAAAAAAACATGTCAGTTGTGCCCTGCTAGCGGTGGCTGGAGTTCGACCACAAGTCCCACTACAGAAGGCGCTACTTCTGGAGGCATGGGGTTGTTGTGATGATAAACCCCACCGCAATAGAACCAAGCACCACACCAAAACAGGAAACCACTAGAGCAGAAAGTGAGTTAACGCACTGCTCTTCAAGTAAGGTAAACAACAACACCCAGAGAAGGAAGAAGGCACAACCCCGCGTCCCCACCAGGCAGTCAACACACTCTTTGTGTTGAGCGGCATGTTGTCGCGGGGTTGATGCCAAAACCCACTGCGCCGAACAAATCATGAAAATACTCAAGCATGAACAAATGCATGCAAAGTAAACACAAATTCCCAAGCAATCACCAAGGAAAAAATCCTGACAAAAGCAATCAATTATGCAAATCAAGGAAAACAACTTGTTTTTCTGGATGTTAATTAGAAGTATATGGGTTTATGCTTTTTCAACTAGAGGAATATGGGTTTATGGTTTTTTCCCTCCGAAGACTGTCCTACCCGAGGAAAAGATGGTCAAACCTACCGGGCTCTACTGCCGAGTCCCAGGCTGCAAGCTAAATGGCTTTCGCTTTAAGACAAAGCAAGCGCTACGCAACCACACGCTCAAAACACACACAGTACCGCAGGAAGCACGCACTCCCTGCGAAGAGGTGGATTTTAGTTCCCGAAAGCAACGCAGATGTGCTGCTTTTACCAATGCTACCGCGCCCTGTGGATAAAACGCAAGCATGGGGAAGATCAAGGTCTTCCCGACCCCAGACTACAAGAGCAAGCAACCCCACGACCCCGCGGTACCCCAACTGCCGTCAACCGGCATTTTGCTAGGACCGTCGAAATCAGGCAAGACGGTGGCCTTGATCTCCATGATTCTTGAACAGTACAAGGGCTGCTTTGAGCGCATCTATGTTTTCTCGCCAAGCATCAGTGTGGACGACGGTTGGAAGCCCGTCAAGCAATATATCGAGGAAACCATGAAGGTGAACACAGACCGGGAGCAGGTCTACTTCGAGAACTGGGACGAGGCGGCCCTGCGCCGCATCATAGACCAGCAGCGCAAGATCACCCAAGTCAGCAAGCAAATGAAGATGAAGCAGCTGTACCAGATCTTGATTCTCATTGACGACTTTGCGGATAGCCCCAACCTGCACAAGAGAACTGGTGACTCAGCCTTGGACACCCTGTTTGTCAGGGGCCGCCATTTCCAGATATCTACTTGGGTGAGCACCCAGAAGCTGCGCCTGATCAGCAACGCGGTGCGGGTCAACGCCCAGTTCTTCATGGTCTGGCGCCTAAGAAACCAGCTGGAAAAGGACAGCCTGCTGGAAGAGCTCACCGCCCTCGTTCCCAAGCAGCAGCTCCACGCGATGTACGAGGAGGCTGTGCGGGAGCCCTACAGCTTCCTGTACATCTACCTTCTGAACCCCAGGGACGAGATGTTCCACATACGCTTCGAACGTCGGTTCCAGGTCGGCGCCCCGCCTGCAGAAGCAAACGAAGACACCGGTTATGGGAGCCTTCCTCTCGACGTTAGCGACCAAGCTGCTGGGAAGCAGCACCCTGTGCCAAAGTGAGTGCAGCAACGTCAACTGCTGCACCTCCGCTGCTGCTGCCGCGAGGGTCTACGATCCTTCCAGGCCGCCCTGGATGCAGAAACCGACGGGGTGGGGGCAGCAAGTCTCCGATGAGTCCGAGGGCTTGCCGAGACCATTCACCTACCCAGCAGGAAAGAGGAAAAGACGCATGACGACCATTTACGTGGATTCCCGGAAAAGGGTCGCCGGCACCGACGCCGACTTCGAGTTCGACGTCGGGGAAACGGTCCACCTGCAGAACTCGGCCCGGCTGGGAGTCTTCAAGATCAGGGTGGCCGACACGTTCTTGAGCACCGACCGGGGCACCTATCTCTATTGGAGGGACGCCGCCCTCAACACCCTGAACTGGGCACAGCTGCCCGTGGGCGCCTACACCGGCGTCCGCCTTGCTGCGTGGATCAGCAGCAACTTTGGCACGGCCGTCTACGGGGAATCCACCAACGAGATTGCGGTGGCCTGGGACGGCAACCGAACCATCCTCAACGACCAAGAGCTGCGGACCCTCTTCCCCAGTTCGGCCAGCTATCCACCGGGCGCAACGCCCTCCCGGCCCTTGAGCATCAACCACCTATTAGGCCCCAGCTTCATCGAGGGCAGCAACCAGATGTTCAGCTTCGTCGTCATGAACCCCTACAACGAGCTGTACCTTCGCTGCTCCAGCCTCGCCAACGCCGCAGACACCGTGGGGCCCCTGGGTCACGACATCATCGCCAAGATCATTTGCAGCCAGGGGGTAGGCTACATCATGCAGTCCAGCACCGACGACAACCACTTGGTCAACATCCGGGGCCCCATCACCTTGCGGTACCTCCGCTTCAAACTGACCGATTTGGACGGCAACGTGGTGAACCTCCGCGGCACGAGCATCAGCTTCTGCGTGTACTTGGACGGGTGAACTGATTGGTCGGTCCAGGAAAATAATAAACATGTCAGAGGAAAAAGACGCGATTAAATGTCTGAGCCAGCCGAAACTGACGAGGCAGGCGGCCCGCACGGAGCTGTTGCCGAAGAAGCCAAGCCTGTGGAAGCGGCTCCTGAGCCTGCTGGCGTCGCAGACGCAAAGCCCGATGAGCCGGCCCCTGCTGCCGAAGCCGAAGAAGCAGAGCCAAAGCGCGGGCGGGGCAGACCGCCCGGCAGCAAGAACAAACCCAGGGCCAAGGCACAGTCCGCTCCACAAGCTCCTCCCACCGTCCCTGTCGCACCTGCTGTTCCCGCACCCGTCTTGGAGCCAGAGCCAGAGCCAGAGCCAGAACCGACACCCGCTCAAATGAGAGCCACCCGACAGCTTCTCCGAACGGACCGCTTCGAGGAGATGCTCATGCGAAACACGATGGAATTCTAACGGAGATGCTGATGCGAAACGCAGTGAAGTTCTAATACTAAGAAACAAACAGACAAAACCATGATGACCATCGAGCCCCGCAACGAGCCTGCGATGCTGCGGCAATTCTGGAAAAGGTACCCCTCTTACAACTTGAACTCGCTGATGCGAAAGCGCTATGAGGAGCTCATGGACGCCAAGGCCTTCAACGAGTGGCTGTCCAACCGCCAGCTCAAGCAGGAAGGGGCGGGCTACGCAGACGCCATGGGTAGACTCACCGAGGCAGTCAACCACCGGGTTCTCCAGTTGCGGTGGGCGGGGGCCGAACGACGACAGACCCTCCGGGCAGGCGACCAGCTCGTCAGAAACACCATGGAGTCCGGCGTTGTGCCGGGCTTCGTTCCGCAAGCCGCCCGCCAGACGAGGAATCCTCCCAGGCCTGGTCGTCAAAATGTTGAAGCATCGGGCGTCGTGGGCGGCGTGTACTAAGCAAATAAGACGATGGAGGAACAACGAGTGATGGGATTCCGCAGGCGCCCCGACTACGGGGAAGTCCTGGCGTACATCGACGAAGGGGAACCGCTAAACTTCCCCTTGCCCAACCGCAAGGCCACCATCTACACGTCGAGCCACTTCTACCTGGACGAATTCCCTCAGTCCACCGAGCCGCTGGTGGAGACCCCACGCCCGCACACGGACCTGGGAGCTGCCGTGGAGGGCGAATTTTACAGCGCCGACGAAGACGGCTACCGAGGCAGGGCGTTCCCCCAGGTTCGCCGGCCAAACTTTCTGGGACCCGGCACCGACACCGACACAGAGGACGAGGCCTTCCGACGCAATGGTTTCGACGGCGCCCCCCGCCCGCCTCCCACGGGACAGGCCTCAAGCAGCGTTTCGGGTCGCCTGGGCAACGCGGGTCTGCAGGCCGCTGAAACGGTCATTGCAGCTGGTGCGGCTGGTGTAGGAGCTGCTGTGGACTCTTTTGCGCACCGCAACGCCGCCAGAACAGCCGATGCGTTGGAGCGCAGGTTTTTGCCCCCGCGCACAGGACCCAGCCCACAGACCATCGGCAGGCCCTCCGAAGCGGAGGAATTGATTGTCAGAGCAGGCCAGCGCGCTCAGGATGTGGAGCGTGCAGCTGCCCAAGATATCGAACAGTTTGCCGCAGAGCAGGCGGCAGCAGAGGGCGGGGAGCTGGTGCCTTTGCTAGCAGAAACTGCCGAGATCGGCACGCAAACGGCAGCGGCTGCCGAAGCGGGAGGGGGCCTGCTGGGTGGGCTGACCGCTTTCGGAGGAGCGGCCAGCGAAGCGGCTGGCGGTGCCGCTGCTGCAGCTTTTCCCATTGCCGAGGGCTTTGGTATAGCCACTGGAGTGGCCACGGGTGGCGCCGCTGCATTGGCAGGCGGAGCAATTTTGGGTCTCTACGAAGGGGGCAGGTGGTTGCTGGGAGGCAACGGCGGGGACGCCGCCCCAGCGAGCTCGGGCAGCGAATCGGCCGACGTGCGAACCATCAACAACATGCAGCAGGGCACGCCGCAGGAACGCTTTCGCGTCCGACAACCTAGGGTCAGACAGCCGATGGTCGTGAGCATCAGCTCTGGGGACGATGCGCCCCTGGCGCAGCAGCAGGAGCAACCCAGGCCTCAGGTGCAGAGCAGACCGGCGCCTCAACCTCGCATGCCTTTCGGCTTGAATCAAGTCGTGTCCAGCAGCGAAAGCGATAGCTACGGCCCCGTGCGCCAGCGACGCCCACAAAGGGCAGAGCCCTCCTTCAACGACTTGCGGCGGGACGCCTTGAGTCGGGAACCCGAAGCCGCTTGAACGACGAGCAAGTGTAAACGTCGTTAGTATACAAAAGAAACGATGGAAGTGGTCTCGAACGCCGTCAACGATGAGCTCATCAGCTCTCTGGACTACAAGATGCGGACGTCCAACGCCTCCTACGTGGTGGCTAGGAAGGACGTCATGTACTATCCCAGCTCCCTGAGCACCTTCACCCCCACGACCTCCAGAGTGGCCCGCATCCCCCTGACCAGCGGCACGGACTTCCTGGACCCTGATTCGATCAAGGTGGCTTTCAGGGTTCAAAACAACGACGCCGCCCTAGCCCTCCAGCCGGCCTTGGTGGACCCCGGGTGCTTCGTCAAGCGGATGCAGCTTTTCGCCAACGGACAGAGGGTCGAAGACATTCAGGAATACGGCAGGTGCATGCAATTGTACAGCTGCCTGAAGCCAAAGGAGTGGTGGGAGAACCGCGGCGTCGAGGGTTTCCCTCAAGGCAACGACGCCTTCAGCAGGCCTGAAAGCATTGCAGCCACTCGGTACCGAGACGTGCTCATGGCGCCAGCGCTCCTGGGACTCTTCAAGGCCGGCAAGATGCTGCCTCCCGAGCTGAACCTGGTTCTGGAAATCGAGTTTGCAGCGCCTGCGGAGGCCGTGCGACCGGGGGACAACGGATCCGAAGACTACGACATTCAGAACGTTCGGGTCCTTGCCAGCCAAGTCACGCTAGACTCCGCCTTGGTCGAGTCCTTCCGCCGGGTCATGCTTTCCGGCAGATCCTTGGTGTTCAGCTTCCCCTCCATGCACACGCAGGTGTCCTCGATTCCCGCCGCTGCGACCAGTCACAACGTCACCGTTGCAAGAGCTTTCACGAAACTTCTGGGCGCATTCGTCACGTTTTACAGCGCGGCAAACAGCGTCGAAGGGCCCGTGCGCGATCTGCGAAATCCAAGCACCACCGTCGGCCAGGAAAGCATCATGGAATCCCAGATGCAGCTTGGCTCGCTCCAATATCCCCACAATCCCATGTCCTCGACTGCGGAGCACTTTCACTTCCTCTCGATTTTGGCCCACACCTATGACTCCAGCATCAAAAACATGCGCATCACCATGGCAAGCTACCGCTTCAGAGAGTTCATCGCTGCCTTTCCGACGGAGCGGGTGCCTGGCATGCCGCTGAGCGGCATCTCCACTCGATCTGGTGACCTGGCACGGTTCAGCTTCAAGAACCTCGCCGCCGACGCGGTCGACCGCGTCTACCTGCACTTGCTGAGCTATCAGGTGGTGACCCTGTCGGGCGCCGGCGTCTCAGTCCTCGACTTGCGCTGAAAGGAAACTGATATCACATGTCATTGTTTGAAAGCTCCATCACGGGCAACATCTTGAACGATGGCCAGACCACCGAAACCAGCGGCATCACCGCGGGGCAGCTGGCCACCGTCTTGACGGCCTACACTCCCTTGACCGACACAGCCACTAACGCCGCAGCCATCGGCACGAACTCGGCCGCTGTGACAGCTCTACAGACTGAAGTGGCAGGCTTGCCTGCCCCGCCGGACCTGGCTCCCTACGCCCTTGCCGCTGACCTCGCAGCTGCAGAAGGCACCATAGCAGCCAACCAATCCTCAATCACTGCCCTGAACACAAGCCTGACAACGGGCTTGGCAGGGAAGGCAAACCAATCGGCTTTGGACACCCTGCAGCTAGAGGTCGACGGTAAGAGCACGCCCGCTTCGGCGGACCTCAAGCTGGCCAACCACCCCACTACGGTCGCCATGAACAGCGCCATTGCGAGCGCCGACAATGCTGTGTTAGCCACCGTGGCGGCAACCTACGGGCTTAAAACCGTCACGGACCAGCTCACCGTGGACGTTGCTGCACGACAGACCGCGGCCGACGTGGACCAGAAGATTGCCACCGCGTTGCTGCCTTACACAGACACCACGGGCCTGAACGCCGCGGTGGCTTTGAGGACCACACCTGCCGACGTGGACCAAAAGATAGCAACGGCTTTGCTGACCTACGTGCAGCAAGTGGCCTTGGACGCAGCTTTGGCTATCAGGGATGGAAGGCTGGATGCTGCGGAGGCTGCCATAGCGAGCCTGCAAGCTGCCGGTTACCAAACCGCGGCCCAGGTCTCAAGTGCCATTGCCACGGCTACGCCACCGCTGGGGACTTGGCCAACTACGCCACCAGCGCCGACCTCACCGCTGCTGAAACGAGCCTCCAGTCCGCCATCGACTCCATCTTGGCGCAGCTCGCCATCCTAAGCTCCGGCGGCGGGAACAACTTGATCAACGCGCAAGCGTGGCCCGGCGAGGTCACCTGGGACCTGCTGGTGGGCACCAACACGCTCCGGAACCTGCACGTTGCGGCCCCGCTATCCGCGAGCCTGCAGAACGACAATTTCACGTTGTCCCTGGCTTGCGACTCCTATTCCAAAGCCGAATCGGACGCCAACTTGGCCGCAGCCCTGGTCCCTTATTATACCAGCACGCATACAGACAGCGCAATTGCGACGGCCCTCGTTCCGTACTACACCAGCGCACAAACGGACAGCGCAGTTGCAGCTGCCCTCGTTCCGTATTACACCAGCGCACAAACTGACAGCGCAATCGCGGCAGCCCTCGTTGCGTACTACACCAGCGCGCAAGTCGACGGCGCACTCACGGCTGCCCTTGTTCCGTATTACACCAGCGCACAAACTGACAGTGCAATTGCCGCTGCCCTCGCACCCTACAGCACGACGGTTCAAATGGACGCCGCCATTGCCGCTGCGCTGACGCCATACTACACTACCGCGCAAGCCGACAGCGCTATCGCAGCAGCTGTGGGCGGAATCGACTTGAGCCCTTACTACACGGCTGCGCAGACGGATGCTGCGATTGCCGCAGCTTTGGTACCTGTAACCCTCAGCAACGCGCCTGCTTGGGTAGGGAACACCACCTGGGAGCTGCTCAAGGGCACCAACGTGATCCGCAATTTACACTTCAGCGGCCCCCTGGTGGCCAGTCTGCAGAACAACACGGACACGCTGCAGATCGACTGCCAGTGCTACTCCACCGCCCAGACCTACACCCAGGCGGAAACGAACGTCCAGATCACCAATGCCATCGATGCGCTGAACCTCAGCCAATACACCACGCAAACGGAGGTCGACAGCAGCATCAGCACAGCCTTGCTGCCTTACTGGGACCAGGGCGAGGTCTCCGCCGAGATAGCCAGCCAGATTTCAGCATCGGGCCACCTGACACAAGCAGAAGGCGACGCGAGGTACTTTCCGGTCAACGGCAATCTGGAGGCGAACGGGATCTTTCAGCTCGTTCTCGAACAGTTCACACCGAGAATGGTCCGGGCTCTGTTGCCCCGCTACCCTATGACAGGCGCAGCGATTCTCGGTAACGGTGCCACCTTGGAGCTGAACGTGGACTGTTACGGCAAGGCCGAGAGCGATGGGCGCTACCAGTCGAGCAGCGACTTCACCAACCTCGACTCAAGGTACTTCCCAGTCAACGGCAACCTGGAGGCGAACGGCATCTTCCAGCTCGTTCTCGAACAGTTCACTCCCCGCATGATCCGGGCTCTGCTGCCCCGCTACCCTCTGACCGCCACAGCCATTCTAGGGAACAACGCCACCTTGGAGCTGGAGGTGGATTGCTACGGTAAGGCGGAAAGTGACGCTCGCTACGCCCTCATCGGCGCTCCCGCGGCGGGCCCGCTCCTGGTGAACGACGTCCGAGCCAATGGAGCCAGCTATCTTACCCTGCGCGGCGGCAGCCTCGGCATTGAATTTGAAGCTGACAGCGGAGCTCCCATGGCAGATCTGTCCACGAGCCTGTTCAGCATCAAAGATGGCATCAACGTGCTCACCAAGGGTCGAATTTTCGCGGACTCTAACCTGGGCATCGCCACCGCAGGCTCCTTCCAAGGGGGTACCGTGGAGCCTTTGTTGCCCACGGACCAATTCCTGAATTTGAAGGCGGGCACCGTTTCGGTGCGAGTCACGGACGCCAGCGACAACAGCCTGTGCACCTTCGCCAGTGCTGAAGTGCACACGGTGGCTACCAGGCTGCGCGTGGACGACCAGCTCTACATTGACGACGTCGTCGGCACCGCCACGGGCCTGATCACGAACGCCATCTCCGCGCGGGCTCAGGACACCCTATTGTCCATCACCGGCGGGTCCAGCGGAACTGTGGTGAACGGCGACTTGGATATACAAGGAACCATGACCGGAGCCAGCATTGAACTCGACACTGAGCTTCGGGCACCAACGGTGCGGGCCAGACCCTCGGACGCTTTTCTGACGATCCGCGGCGGCACCACGGGCATGTACCTGGACGGTGTCGTTTTCACTGCGTCCACCATTCAAGCGGACCCGGGGTTGGTGTCTTCGCCCGCGTGGCTCACCTTCGTCGGCGGCACCACAGGCATAGAGCAGGTCTGTACCCTTGCGCAGGTGCGGCAAAACGCGGTCGGCGATGTGGAATTCAAGGTCCTCAACGAAGATGCTACCACCGGGGAGGCGGCGCTCCGAGTACAGAACGGTTCAGGGTCTAACGGCAGCCTGAGGGCTCTGGAAAGCGGCAGCGAGGTGCAGCTTCAGGCGACGAGTCAGACCATCAGCCTGCAAAATCAAACTGGGGCCTTCCAGGCACCCGTTGTGGTGCAGACAAATGGTCTGCTGGTGGCCAATTACGGCCTGCAGAACAATTCTGACTCCAACATCAAAGCAAACCAGCAGCCCACACCTCTGGCCCATCTGAAAGCCGTTTTCGATGCTGTGGAAGTGAAAAGCTACACTCGCACAGACATGCCGCAACCCGAGGACCGCATTGGCTTCATAGCCCAGGAGATCCTTGCCTCTGGCACGTCGGGGCCGAAGTTTGCCAGCATGCAAGAAAACGGGCTTTACGGACTAGACTACTCTCGGCTGACGTGCGTTCTATGGGGAGTCTGCAAGCTACTCGAGCAACGCATTGCTATTCTTGAAGCTGACGACTGAGCACATTGACCACGGCCGCAATCTCCCTGCACAG